TCAATTCAATTTTATTTGTATAGCGCCAATTCATAACAGAAGTTATCTCAGGACACTTTTCAAATAGAGCAGGTCTAGACCGAACTCCTTTTAACATTTACAGAGACATGAGTTCCACTCCGAAATGTGGCCCTTTGCTGCGTGTCCACCCCCCTCTCTCCTTTCCTGTCACTCTTCAGCTGTCATTTTGGGCAATAAAAGCCCAAAAATAAAAATGGTTAAATATAAAATAAGTTCAACATAGAATCTCAACAATAGGAATAAAGAGAAAAATAGTTTAAGATATGTCTAACAAAACAAACCACAGCTCCCCTTTTCCTCTCTTCTCCAGTACTTATTTTTTACCCTTAAACTGTGCTTTCCCCTTTAATGTGTCTTTTTTGTACTCAAAGCACTATATATATATAATACAAAGCCAGCACTGCAGCTATACAGTGTAGACTAATGTAGATCTAGACACTGTAGAAGTTGTCTGGTCCAGTGCCGCTCTAATTCTCCACCGCCGTCATTCAGCCCAGAACTCAGTGTGCTTTCTCTCGTCCCCCGTCTATATATGTCTCGGGAGAAGGTGACAAATAAGTAGCCAGACATGTTCGCGCCCTGTTCCCCCGGCCCTCCCCGTGGTACCTCTTATTAGGGAACCAACAGAGGAATTGATCAAACACGAATCCTGCCTCTCTCATCATTACCTGCAGGTACACATCGTCATAACTCAGACAGCAGCCGCTGAGGAGCAGGGGGGGAGAGGAAAGAGAGAGGGAGGGTCTCTTCCCACAGAGCTAACAAGCTCCTTACAGAGAAAGAAGAGTGTGAGGGCGGTAGGCAGGGGGTGGGGAGGCGAATGCAAACAGGTATAGAGAGGCGAAGGCGCCGGTGGAAGGAGGTGGGAAGATGAATGGACAGGGAGGAAGAGAGAAGTGCTGTAGAGAGTGGGCTTCTGAAAAAAGAAAAAGTATGTGAAAATGGAAGCCAGAAGGGACATTCAGAGACGCTGCAGGGAAAGAGCCGGTAAAAAGTTAAGAAGGGAATGCGAGGGAAACAGCAAGGTTTGCACAAATTGGCCTAACAAAAAAAACAGAGCTGAGGTGAAGCAGGAGGCATGAATTATGCAAGAGGAGATTTGGCTGCAAAGCTTTGCTCCCGACAAGGCACAACGGCTGGGGTTACACTCAGCTCTGCTGGGGGGTGCGGGGCGGGGGGGGAGACACTAGATTACCTCTCATCCATCCTTACATCTGTTAAGAGGCTTATAGACAGGCAGAGAATGCGCTAACACAAAGACTCATCCTGTTTCCTTTACTCGTCATACCACCGTGTTTCACCTGCAGCGGGAGCAAGCTGTGTCCTTTGGCGTGTGTATTTCTCTATGTTCCATCAGAGGATCCACAGGGGTCTGGGCACGGGACAAAACTCACTTATGAATTCACAGACGATACTTGACCCCGCCATGGATTCATGGTTGTGACTCTGTTGTGTGTTACATCAGTGGTGAAATATGTCAATTGTTGAGCACAGCTGTTGAGAGAAAAGGGCATGAAACTAGGTGGGTCTTTCCATTAGTTTTTCATCTTTTTATCTTTAAGTTCTTGTGCTTAAAGGGTTAGTTCACTAATTACAGAGCGAACAATAACACCAATCTCACACTAAAACCATGGGTATTAATCTGCTGCTATAACAAAGCATTCCCACAGTATTATATTATATTAATATTTTAGGACCTGCGGTTATTTGCGTCCAATGGCAGTGTTTAATGTCAGTGCAGGAAGTAGTGGTTCCTATATGTAGCAACATTGACATGTATAATGATGGACAACATGACAGCGCTCCAAAGGTGAAGCCAAAACATCTTGATCGCCCCCTGGTGGTACAGGTCATAAAGCCTGCTGCCTCCATCCATCTGCCAACATGGTACACGTCTAATACATTTTCCCCAAAGATGGTTTCTGGCATTTTAGGTACTTCTTATCACGTGACGCTGATGTATGTTCAAGTGTTAATTTTTCTGATATGTTTGGTTTTTATTAGTTATTTAAAGCTATAAAAAGGGGGTGACTGACAGCCCTGCCCTGAGTTGAATCGACCAGGCGTATGGGCGGGATCTCGATCCCACAGCGCCAGCCCCGATCACTGCTGCGTAGACTCGGACTATGGCAAAAGTTTGCAGCAGCCATATGAGTGATACTTTGGCTCAATTTTTGTACAAAGGGAGGAAACTATTGCTTGCCTCCCATCACAGACATGTCATTTTTATTTTTATCAACCGTTACCACAATCTTCCCCTAACCTTAACGTAAAGTGTTTTACCCACCATAACCACAATATTTCCTTAAACTTAATACAGTAGTTGCCATGCGTAAACCTTGGGGAAAGTGAAAGTCATCATTGGTCGTAAAAAGAAAAAATGCAGTTATGCTACAGCTAAGACTGGTGACAGCAGTTTATGCTTGTCAGTCGTCAAAGTAACACTTTCCAGTTTTTGCATAGCAGGTCGACATGGGGGGAAAAAAACAGTATAGAGGCGTGCTGTAGTATAAAAAGTTTGGATATCACTGGTTTTAAAGCCCATTTAGTAAGTACACTGATAGCGAGATGTGTCAGGGTTTTGATCAATCATTTCCTTCACAGTAATCAATTCCAGCATGTCCAGTGAAGAAAGGGAAGAAAACCTTGAGCGTTTACAGGTTGGAGAACCTAGACACAAATCAGTCACAGTTAAGTGCTCGTGTGTGAGGGAGAAAGAACTCACTGCTGCTCTGCAGGTCAGACACCAGGCAGAAGGTAGTTTGATAACTAACAGCACTTACTGCCTCTGCTAACCCGTATGCAATGGATTCAGGTGCAGGCAGGAAATCTGGGGATAAACTAAGCCTTTAGATTCAGTAGCACTTGGCTCAGTGACAAAAAAATCTCCTGCAAAGCTTATACAAATAGTGCTGACCAACCGAACTGACACAGTTGAGTAGAAGGATTTCAAATGTCTCAGCATGTGCTCTTATTGTTGTAGGCAGGTTGCTTTAGGAAGCACATCTGAAGGGTCCTGTGTGTTTATGTGTGCACACTGGTGCATTGTGGACATAGTGCTGGCTCAGTCATTTCTTTGCCAGCATTGCCTACACGTATCCCTGCCCCAGTTTAAAAAAAAAAAAAAGTTTGGGGGAAAAAAATTGAGTCAAATACAAATGAGCTCTGCAGAAGTACAGCAACCAGCAGCACTTTTAATGGGGCCTTAAAGGGTTCTTAGAAGCAATGTCACAACCTTTCCTCAGTGCCGCTGTATTCTGTTTCTTTGTCCGTTTTTGAAGAGTAGGACATGTACATAAAGTTGTGTGTTTGGAGCCCGGGGCTTGCTTCTTTTTCCTCTACTCTCGTTAGACTCCCTTTTCCATCTCATTAGTTGAGTTCACAGTGCTTCCCAGTGCCAGCGAGAGGATAAAGATTATGCTTAAAGTAACTCTGCCTTCTCAAATCACATGGGCGCTTTTCTCCAGTCGCTTCTAAAACAACAACTCTTTTATTTTACTGTAACTCATCCCCTGGATTGTCTCAGGAGCAACCCTATGAACAGCCAGCTCAGTGTGTACCGGAAGCGCTCTTATGAGTTTTATAGTTAGAAACGTGCCACAGGATATGGAGTTGATGAGAAGCCTGCACCCTGAGAACATTCATTATTTCAATTTCCCATGGTTGTTATTGTGGCACATTTGCTATTCCCTTCTCGACAGAACTGATATTACATTTCTCTGACCCCTTTTCCTGCTGTCATTACTATGCGCTCTTGGTGACCAAATTGAATTTAGACAGAGCAAAAAAATACCAGAACCAGATGGAAATGTGTTTATGATGCATTAAAGGTCTGGTCAAGCAAATGAGAGAATGCTAATGTGGATATGTATGGAAAGTGTTTGATATGAAATAAGTAATCCAGTAAATTCTCAGAAATATATGAATGAACCAATAATTTGCCAAATAATTTGAATCTTATTATAAATTGAATTGAAATTGCTGTTGGTGTTTCAATTAGCCTTTTTCAAAACATTTGCCAGTTAGGTAGAGCAATGATAATACCAAAGTAATACTAAATTGACGAACTAGTAGCCAATTAAACAAAGAACACACACAGTAACAATAACCACTTCTTTTACTTAGCTTAACAAGACTGTTCATGCTATCTACCTAGCCAGCTAACTAGCTAGACCGGATTGTTAGCTGGTGAAGAGCCAAGAGCAACAGCTAACATTGGCTAACTTTGACATTGTTGTTGCCCTAGCTAACAGGAGTTGGATAGCTAAATTTGGGGGCAGTTGTTGCTAGTTGCTAGCTTAAGAGAGGCAGGAGGCATGAAAGTGACTGAATCTCGAGGGAACAGTGGCCGTTGAAAACATGAAAAGTGACAATATGAAATAAAATGTGACTTGAATTAAGAGTGTCAGAAAGCAAGACAGAAGTTTGAAAGGAGAAGTGTGTAATGACATACAAATTTCATAACGTTTAATGGTAATGGCTTTGATTTTAATATTGTTTTAATAATGAGTTCTCATAAAATTTCATTTGCCTTCTTTATTCATCACCCCCTCTCTTCCTCTTTCCTCCCAGCATCAAGATGGTGCTGATGTGGACCAGCGGGGACACCTTTAAAACGGGATACTTCCTGCTCACCCAGGCTCCCGTGCAGTTCTGGACATGTGGCCTGCTGCAGGTCTTCGTGGACTTCGCCATCCTGTTCCAGGTTTACTACTACAGCCGCTACCCGCAGAAACCAGTGTCCCACACCGTCTCCCACACCACCAGTGCCAAAGCCCTCTGAAAGCCCCTGCAAGCTCTCCGAGGACACCAGTGAGGAAGCATTTTCAGAGGCGCTGTGGACATGTGTAAACATACACGAGCACCAAAGCACCTTGAGATGATGCAGGCTGCTCGCCCTCACCTCCAAGTATACATTAAGACGCATACACACCCATAAATAAGGCATGGGTATACTCAAACACTTGGTGTTGGTGTCTGCAGCGATACCTGAAGGACACTTGTTGCAAACAAACCTTTTTGCTTTATTTATCCTACTGACTTCTCCTCAATGCGACAGTATGCTTGTGTCTTGGAATGCAGACTTCTCAAAGAATATATCCTTCAATCAACCTGTGCATGTGGAGAATATTATGCACATACATGAATATATACAATCTATAAACTGCAGATGTATGCACTGAAATCTGTGCTCAAGGAAATGTGGACCAGCTTTTCTCATCCACATTAGCTGATGATTGTTGCATGGACCCTCTGCCTTAAAACACACATTCAAACATGGCTTACCAGCAATAGAAATGAATGACTCAATTAAAAAAAAAAAATCTTAATATACAACGTTACTGAATGTACAAAACGGCATTTGTTACTTTGTAGTTTTTCCAACTCAGTGGAGAAATGCTGGTCAGTCTACCACTTGTTGGACAGATGGTTGCCATGCGCTGTGGCACACAGGCTCAGTCTTGTGGGACAATGGAGGAATCAAACCTAGAGGCAATCAAACGTTACCAAAAGAAGGAAAAAATCCAAATGCTTAAAGATGCAGGGCATTGGCTTTTAAGTGACATTGAGGCTAACAGAGTGGTGTAAAAATCAAGCTTTGTAAAAGACATAAGGGCTGTCTGTTCCGCCTGAAGCCAGTATTGCAGGAAGCAAAGGTGTTCAGTTATTGGAAACATCATCAAACATCAGTTTGTACAGGCTGCGCGGGTTGCCAAATGCCCAAGATTTTTGTACTGAAGCTGTTGATGGCATTTTGTTTAGAATTTTGATCATTGCTAGCTAGCTACAGCTGTACAGTCTGTATATGAGTTGTTTGGGGCAAATAAACACAGTCTGATCATTTTGATTTAATTTAACATTCATGCTGCATTCAGGCCAGCAGAATGGGAGAAACAGAAAAACCTACCATTATACGACTTAGGAGTGTTTATGCATTAGTATAAGTTGCTGGTAGCCTTGTGGTCACACCATTTAAAGGTCCGCTGTGTAACATTAAGGAGGATCTGTTGACAGAAATGGAACATAATGTTTATAGGTATGTTTTCATTAGTGTATAATCACTTGAAAATAAGAATTTTGTTACCTTAGTATGAGATGTTTTTATCTACAGAGGGAGCAGATCCTCTTCCATGGAGGCCATGGCCATGCCATGTTTGTACAGTAGCGAACAAACCTAACACTGGCTCTAGATATAGGGGCTTTCGCGTTTTTCACAAGTTTCGTGGCCACTGTAGTTACTCCTACATGCTTGGAAGGAGATCTGTAATTCAAATAGTTGCAATCTGCGACTTCACCTCTAGTTGCCACCAAATCTTACACACTGGTCCTTTTACATTACTGTCTAAACTAGCTACTTTTGTTGTGTATTAGTTGTGTTGCTGTATTAGTTGATATTATATTTTGTAGTCATTTTGCCACCAGTTTGTTGATACTGTAGTTCTTTTTCGCCTGGTGGGAGAAAATATTATAGCTCCGATTTTCCAAAACTTCTGACTCAGAATTAAAACTAGGAAGCTGACGTGAATGTTTATGCTGACTTGGCTGCTCTGAACAATATGACGTAGATGCAGCATCACTTTGCAATTTTGTCCATCATTCCATTATCTGTAATGATAACATTAAGTTAATAAGTTAATTGCTGAGATCAGGGATGGCAGTGACAACACTACAGAGATTCAACTATCTCAGACGTTATTTTGTTGAGTTACAGAGGTTATTATTACAGCCTCAGCTACAAAATGAGACCCAAGTTGCAATGAACCAGAACTATTCTTTAAGAGAGGTTAACTTCAGGTTTTACAGACTGATATTCTGGAATATCATATCTTCACTTCCCATCATATTGTCTGTGGGTTGCACTGACTGGCCAGTTCATTATTTATATTGCGAATCCAATAACATCCCCTGATACCCCCACTCATGACTCCACATGACCGTGTGGTGCTGCTTGGGCCAGGTTGTAGTCCTCACCATTTTGTCCCAAGAAATTAATTTCCTGTTCAGAAGGAGAAGCAGCCACGTGACACAGTGAAGATTTTCTTTTGTTACTGTTGTTTTGTAATTTTTCTCTGGGGAGGGTGGAAATGCCAAACCAGGAGGTGTACGACTGTCAGCCCTTCAGTGAACTGTGTACCACAGCAGACCTGATTCTGTCCTCTTCTTCCAAGCCTCAAGAACTGGAAGCTTCCCTTTTGTTCCAGTGGGATGTGGCAGGAGTTTACTATGAATATTTCTTTCCTTACTCTTAAATATACAAAAACGCTATATGTGGTCGCCATATTTATTTTGTTATCCTTTTCATAATCTTCAAATGCCATTCTAAGATAGTGTACGTCTGTTATTCAGACAGTGGATAATGCATAATGTGAGATACCTAGCTGGTTCTTTTTGTGCTCAACAGGATCGAAATGACCTCAGAGTCTCATTTTATTTAATGCTTTATTCCATCTGTCTGATTTTACTTTTTTTACGTTGTGTTTTGTATCATTTGGTTCATTCATTTGATCATGTAAAGGTATTTTTTCCCATTGAAACTGCCAACTTTTGCATCTGTGAGTTCCACACCTAGTTTGTTAACATACCAAAAATATTATTTTCACTATTTGTTGTGCCATTTTACAATGTTACATATGTTTGTTTTTCATTTTTCTATTAAAGTGCCAAGACCTTTTTCACAGCGGCCATTTTGACATTAAATAGTAGGGTGTTACTGATGATATTAAAGGTTCACTTCCATTCAGAGTCAGGGTGCTGCTGTTGTGTGTGTTGTCTCATTCGAAAAAGGCTCCGCGCCACTAAGTGGAACAGAACCTTAATTAGTATTATTGGTAATCCCTGTTTACCCTACTTTTTCATATCAAAATCGCTTCTGTGAAAACGGTCTATTGTCCACCTCAGTAACTAATGACATCCATCAACACTTGAGGCTGATTAAACACAGAGTTTTGTTGATAATCTAATGTGGCATTGTCACCCAATAAAGAGGACACAGAGAGACTTGTGCGTCATGCTTTGTCTGACAGAGATGTTTGTGTCAGTTGTGCAGACATCCACCGTTGCTCCCATCAGCGGTGCAGCTCTGGCAGACATCAGTTGTCAAAGGAAGAATAAGCCCCACCAGCCATGGTCCTTCTTTGGGCTTTGAGCATATCTAAATAATAAGCACATAAATTGTAATGTGCTGGGCTTTCACATCAAGCTCTCCACTGGTACAGAGAGGCGACAGTACACAGATAATAGATGTACCAGCCAGCCAAGGGGTAAAAAGATGGATTTGAAAAGGCATTTTCTGAATGCAGAGTCGTTGATGTGACTGTATTAATCTGCTAAACAGAATCATGAGACGAGAAAACAAGCACCAAATACACTATAGTGCATGAATGTCTTATCTATAGTTCATACATATATACACACGTACAGCTAAAAAAAATAGAATATCGTGAAAAACTCACGACTAATTTATTGAGCTGTACCTGTATATGGACTGAAAATTCCAGAACAGTCGACCACATGGGCCCTCCCTAACAGAAATGTATTTAAACCTTATCTTTAATTTAAACTCAATATCAGGAATTCATTAACACAACCCTCAAAATAAAATTCTCACTTGTGCTCGGCACCTCAGGCATTCGGGTGGGTGTAAAAAGCTTCCCTGTGTGATAACTACTGTAAAATGGCTGGTTACCGACTTTTCAAGTCCCCCAGCGCAGTGTGCTGTGCACGTATTAGCGTTGCGTTTCTGCATCAAATAGAAGTGATGGTGAGGGGTCTTGCTCACTGTTAGGGACACTAAATGGAACTGAGCCATTGTTACTGTTACTTAATCCACCTGTGTTTTTCTGGCTTTGACAAGGCAAAATATCTGCCGTGCAGCCAGTCCATAGCATCTGGTAGATTTGCTAGCTGTGAACATAACCCCACAAAATCATGAAACAGATAAACTGTTTATTCTATTCCTTACATTTTGCATTTTTGTTTTTAGTATACTGAATGAATACCACTTCGGTATGTAGAAAAATCCGAAGTTTACATAAATTAGTTTGTGAAAATAGAGGAGCATTTAGCAGCTAAAGAGCAAGATATTTTCCTCAGGAGTTGCCCCCCAAACCAGAGTTAAAAAGAGTATAATAGAGAGAGAGAGTATTGGACTGGTTAGAAACACCAAATTAATGTTACTGTTGCCCCGAGTCTGCTGGATGTGAACATTGTTAGCTAATACACTAACACCTTTATCCTCGGATCACCCGGGAACAAGAATCTGATGTCTCCTGTCTATACAACCTTCAAAATATCCTCTCACTGACTTGTTATTCACATGTAGCATGGGAAACATACTCTGAAGTCATTATAATCTATAACCACTGAAGGTCACGGCCACAAGGAGGATTCAGTTCTTTTTTTTCTGTTGATGACCATGATCTTTAGTTTGACCTCGCAGCGCTAGCGGTGTGAGCAGGAGAGCCCACTGAACAGGCTCCGAGTCTAAGTTGAACATTCCATTGAAGCACTGTCAGTATTTATCAGATTTACAGTGCATTGTGCCAAAATCACTACTGGAAAGATAATTCATTTATTATGTATAACACACTGGAACCAAGCTGCAGACAAACCAATTTAGGATGATCTAAGTGCAGAAGTACAGCACGCACTCTGTTGCAAATTTCAGAGCATCCTTGTGTATAATAAATTGTTAAATCAAAGCTTCTCCACATGGGACTGTGTTCATTATAATCTTTATTACATTTTTCAAAAAAGGCTGTTCCTCAGGCTATGGATTCATGACGCAAAGCACAAATCCATTTGGGGGAGTTTGGTTATATTCAAACAACTGTTTTATTGAACCATCCGCTCCTTATCAAAGCAAACATTTTCATTTCTTAAAACCTAAATATTGTAGATATAATAGTTTAAAGTGTTCCTGTGTCAATAGTTCCATGCTTTTAATGATGTCAGTTAATTCCTGTGACCTGGCGAATTCAAGAGTTGACAGACCAAAACATTTCCTTATGGCATATTAAAAATAACTAAATCTAATTGCACTCTCAAGCATTGGGGCTGGTTTTGATAGGTTCTAACAATTCGGGAAATGTTTTTTTCACTTCAAAGTAGAAGGGCAACTCAAGTCAAAGAATGAAGTGCTGTTATTTGCAATTACATAAGGAAATCCTGTAAGGACTGTAAAAGTATTCTTAATATCTAAAATGGTTTTTGACTGAGCATGAGGGCTCTATTGCTTTCACTGCCTGAAGCGTGGAATGTACGCAAATTGGAATCAAACGTGTTTGCTTTTATGAGATGGTTTTCATTTGCAATACACCTTCAGATTTTTTGGTCCATCGGCTTACTTTACCCCAATATCTTAGAGGATTGGCACCAACATCACCTCATCTTAAAACAGATAAAGTAGCATTAAATCACAAGATAATACCAAAAAGAAAAGCGCAGTAATTCTAACTTTGGGGTGGTTATAATGACCAGAATTGTGTAAAGGGTTGGGCAAAAAGCACAAAAACAATTCAGCAAAAAGTTGCAGTCTCGCACAGTAATTACACAGCCTTAAATATTTGGCGATGTTCAAATTATAAACTGCTCAGCAAAAATCATTAAAATTCCTCTTTAAATTTACAGAAATCTGGCCATTATTTTTAACAATAGATGGCATTACAAATTTTGAACCTGATCATGGGTACTACACAGGAAGTTCAGGAGGTCACCACAAATAGGACAATCCCTTTTTCGCAGTTACTCTAGACCAGGTGTTTTCCTGAAAAGCTATATCAACCAGCATCGCACATTTTAAACAAAACCAACTTTGTTGTCTTAACTTAAGGTCCACTTACTATTTTTTTCAGTACTTTCAATTACATCTCACATTTGTCTTTAGTGGATAGTTTGCTTAGGATGGTTTAGTGATCTAAGGTGGTGAATAATATAGGCCATGCTGATTAGGTGAGTGAAGGTTGGTATGGAAAAGGTCAGTAGCACCCAATCTCTGTCCCAAATGCCTCTCTGTGGTTGGATGGTGGAAGCGCATCCACCTGGACTCCTGTCAATTGACTTTGACCGCCCCAGTGCTGGGTGTAGTGTTTCCCTACCACCTTTGGCATTGTTGTTCTTAAACACCCCAGTCTTCTTCTTCACTTCTGGTCTTTTTAGGTCAGGAAATGACAAATGAGTTGCCCTTTCACTGATATGCAGGTGGAAAATTCCTGAAAAAGCCTAGTAAGAGGTCCTTAGGTGTAACTACTCCATTTGCCAAAGGGCCCGATCAGAGAATGTCATGCGTCATTGTATTTTCACACGTGGAATAATTGGCTTAACAAGCTATACGGGATCAGTTGAACATTTTTGGGAATACGCTTTTTGGCTTTCTATGCCAAGAGGGATCTCGGTTTCGTTAACCTATAAAGATACAGCCGGGAGGTGGCTTAGTGTTAGCCTTAAGCATAAAGTCTCAAGCCCAAGGGTGAAAAAGCCTAGCCTGGTTTAGTGCTCATAAGTACGTCCTACCCAGAACCTCCTAAACGCTGCTATAGGCGCGGGAATTACTGATCTTGTTTGTTTCTGGAGCCCAAAAAAGTTTTGTGCCTGGACTATTGTTTGCTGGGGTGCAGTTGACTTTCTGAAGTCCGTCTTCTTAGCTAGGGAGCTTTAGAAGGTGCCTGTTAAGCGTATTTCTATACCTTTTGTACAGAGGGCTAGCTGTTGTACCCCCATTTCCAGTGCTAATGCCAAGCTAAGCTAAACACCTGCTGGCTGTAGCTCATATTCCATGTACAAATGTAAGAGTGAAATCCATCTTCTCTTCTAACTCCTGGCATGAAATTGAATAAGCGTATTTCCCTGTATGGATAATTATTCTCTTAAAGCCTCAGCATGTGCTCCAGACAGAGCTATCTAATGAGTGTGGCACCAATCCTCTTGTCATTTGCCACTGAGCAAAACGTCCCAACCGACTATAGCCCTTTGACAGATAAATTAGTTTGTGTTATTATGTTGGAGATTAATTAGCTCTGATTCATTGCAAATAAGTGTGCTGACATATCTCATATAATACATGTGTGAACCTTATATAACAGAGTCCCAGGTACAGTAAGTTATTTGGTACAAATACAATACAGAATGAACAGAGATAATATTGCATCATTAATAAACTACATGTCTGACATCTCAACAAACAGCTTTATTTCAGACAATCCTCTCAAAAGCAGCTACATGAGAAACATTAATTATTAGTCTGAGGTCTGCAAACAACGTGTGATGTTTTGGTTTTTAGATTTCCCTTTTGCACAGACTTATCTCAAGTCTGAATCACAGTCAATGAGACTAGTGTCTCAGTCCCTTTTTTAAAATCATTTTAATTCAGTTGTTTAATCGTGAATACTGTTCTGTTGCCCATCTTTTAAGTCAAATTTGTGAAGAAAAAGCAGCCCTGCACCGCCTCTGTAAAACTTAAGAAACTCAGATACACTCTGGTGCACAAGCGCTTCACACGATCAAAGCCGAGACCTCAAGCTCCAGAAAAGAAAATCTCCTCCCTTCTCACAATCCTGCAGCTTGTCAACTTTGAAGTCCCAGCGCTGGGTCACGGCCTCCTGGGCTGCCACTTGAACACAGACAGACAGACAGACGGGGCAAGCTAAGTTTGCATGGACGCTCTAATCTCAGCAGCCCTCTGAACAGCCATGGACTTCCTCCGCTGCACGGATGAGGCTATGGCCTCCGTGATGCCGTGGTAGCTATCCGTCTCCTGAGAGTCTTCGCTGTTCTGGGACTTGGTGCTGTCCTGCGAGTCCGGCTTCTGCCTCAGCGCCCGGCTCTGTTCCTCCTTCAGCTCCAAGTAGGAGCGAGAGAAGGTGTGAAAGATTGACGTGACGGGGAAGGCCATGAGGAGGATGCCGCTCAGGATGCTGCTGAGCGCCACCACCTGACCGGGGATGCTTCTGGGCACCATGTCTCCGTAGCCGACTGTGGTCATGGAGATGACGGCCCACCAGTAGCTCCCAGGGATGCTAGTGAACTCCTGCTTGGCGCCCATCTCACTCTCGGCTAGGAACACCAGTGGGGAGAAAAGAGCCATGGCCACGCAAAGGAACAGCAGCAACAGGCCGAACTCACGTGTGCACCTCCTCACTGTCAGGCCAAGTGTCTGAAGCCCTAACGAATGGCGGGCCAACCTCATCACGTAAAAGATCCGTAGAGCTCGCAGGACTCTGAGAACTAACCCCACCTTCTCCAGGTAGTTGTTCCCTGAGCCTGCAGGTTTCCCTCCCACTGACAGCGAGTCCACAATGAGGGTGATGTAGTAGGGAAGGATGGCCACCACGTCAATGACGTTCAGAGGCGTTCGCAGGAACATACACTTGCTCTGTGTCTGAATGAAGCGCAGCAGGAACTCCAGGGAGAACCAGGCAACACATACCGTCTCCAGCACAAAGATGTTATAGCACCTCTGGGAGCACTCACCCTGCAGAGAAAAAAAAGCACATAAAGACAGACATTAAGGGATGTGTTAAATTACGCTCCAGCAATAACACCTGTCAGCTTGCGAGACATGAACTCCAAAAGCGCTTTGCATAAAGGTTACGTGAAGACGCACCACGAAGTCAGTAATTAAGCATCTATTTCAAAGCCTGCTATTTAGTTTGTGGGTTTGTCATTGACAGAAGAGGTTGATGCGTTTGATCTGACAACAAAAAGGTGATTCTTTTCTTTCACCGAACAAAACACAACAGAGAAGGTTCTGAAAGATTCATGAAATGTAAAACAATGGCTTTGATTATCTCATCTCGAAAAGCTCACTGACTTCCACATCAAACCTGAGTGATCAAGAGGTAAAAGCTGTAAGAGGTGTAGATGTGCATGCAGTGTTATGTAATAACGTGTCTTAGATAAGCCAATACTGTGGATTCTTAAAGTTACCACAGCTGAAACATTCTCTCTTTTAATGATTATCTTTTTATTTTTTCAAGACTGCTGAAATATGGTTCATAAATATTTTAAAATATAATTATAAGAGATTACTTGGTTATTAAGTCAAAGTCACCCCTGCAGGAGACTTTCAAAATGCTTTTCATTTTTCTGCATTTTCTCACTCTTTGCTTTTTTTTGCATCAGTTAATTATGTGTGGATTAATTAGTGAGAATTATGAGAATATGTGGAGACAATTGAGCAATAAAGAAAACTTTCTTCAGACTCTTTAAAAACTTTTAAATCTTTCCTCTCAGTCATTTACTGCTGCCGAACAGGTATTTCTAAAGCAGACTTTTCAGACTTAGCCCCCTGTTGTGTTAAGTGGCTCACACAAGACTTTGGAGGTTGCGCAAGAAACATACACATTAGCGACCCATCAGGTTACATACACTGTGGCTGTAAAGGTCATCTCCAGGTGTGAATATATAAGCAAACCACTTCCCTTAGCATTTGCTCCGTCAACAGCTCTGCTCCATGGAGACGGCATTCCAACTGACCGCCCTCACAGGAAAAAAAAGCCTTCCTCTCAGATTGAGCCTCGTGCATTTTTCAGAGTATATACTTAGTTTTGCATGTAGCATGGTTTTTGCCCTTGAGACATCAAATTTTCTAAACCCATTAAGGACCATATAAATCATTGATCGGCAAAGCTGGAGTCACAGCTTTTCATGAAGCAGCAGCAATATACTGTTTAAGTGACTGCTTGATCAAAACAATAAGCTAAAATAAGAAAAAATAGTAATAATATTGAGTAGGACTTGGAAAGTAGTCATCATGATGGCCGATTGATGTGTTATGTGTCTTTGCTTACACATTATGCCTTTCTATGGACAGTAAAAGATGTTTTGTTTGAGGTCAGAACTCACCACCTGACTGATTGCCTGGCTGTTTCAAGCATACCTTTACTGAATGTAAAGTCTTAAAAGACTAGTTTGAAATAGGTTCTGCCACAGGCTTTGGGAAAAATGACAGTGGCGCTTCTGTCAGACCTGCACAATGTAGATGTGACAGTGCTGTGTAGTAATTATACCCCACTTATCATTACTTGCTAGCTTGTGATTATAAATCATTAAACTTGCAATCCATTATTTCTTACATTGTAATCAGATAAAATACATGGTCTAATTAAAATCTGAAACATGCAAAATGTTCAAAGTGGAATTTTGACCAAGAATTATATCCACAGAGCAACCTACATACCTAGCAAGCCAGTACTCTGCAGGTAGCCGTCACACCTACTTTAATGCTAACCAGTCTTTAGATGTAAATTAAAGGTCATCACATTTAGGAGGATCTATTGGCAGAAAAGGAATATATTATTCAGAGGTATGTTTTCAGTAGTGTATAATCATCTGAATATAGGCCACCTTAGAATGAGCTGTTTTTAT